CACAGGGAAAATTTAAACTTTAATTGGAAAGAACACATACTGCTTTAACACAGTAAACAGCCCTGCCTTCACCCCCTAAAAGAACTGATGAATATGGTGGCTTGCTCTATAAGGCAATTAATGTAATAATGCCTAATAAAGCTGAGATGAAAAATTATTTCTAAGTTGGGTGAATCATTAGCTGTTCTGCTCCTTGCATCCCTATATTCTGAATGGTTAATTCTAAAAAAGTAGAGCTGAAGCTCTAGTTATTAGATACATTATACGGGTCAAAATTTGCAACCTGATAAAACCAAACAGTAAAACTCCCTCCATGATAATATGAACTCATATAAAACAACAGGCACATTTTCATTAAATTATTCCTAGAATGCTCCAGCACACTTTAGAAGACAACTATGATCTAGCTAAAACATGGATTTTACAGGTCATTTTCATTTTACCTATTAGAAGTTTTCGGGATGAATATATGTATGTATGTGCATATGTATGTGTGTGTGTGTGTGTGTGTGTGTGTGTGTGTGTGTGTGTATGTGTAGACATTTATATCTAAAGAGCAGTAAAAAAGAAGGGATATTTATGAGTTGAAACATCTGGAATCAATCTATTCTAAGGCAGAGTATGTTTCTGTTTATAGTTTAATACACTAGTATCCTATGGTTGGGTTAAATATAAATAAACATTCTACTTTATAATAGAGACTGTGCTACAATTCTATGATTTGGTTTAACTGATCTACCATGAAAATAATGTTCTTCATAGAAGGAAGGTGCCATTACAAACAGCCTTTCCACAGGACTAGGGCAAGGGATAAGGAACAGACGACTGCATCAGAAAATAGCATGGTTTTTGTTATTCCTCACTTCCTTTTTATTGGAGTGAATGCTTTTTAAAAGTAATATAATTTCAATTCAAGTGATTGCCAATGTCCTATTATTTTAATGAGCAAGCATAACAAGTTTTATTATGTGTCAAAGATGTTTCTGAATCTATAACAAGGTTCATAAATGCCACTGTACATAGAAGACTGACAAAATTAAGAGCTCTACATTGTTTTAAACATCAGATCTGTACATTTTAAAATAGATTTCTCTACCAGCAAAACGTTCACTACATGTGTAACTAAGACTATAGGCTTTATCTCTAAAGTTAGAATCAATGACTAACATCAATGAATAAGGCAGAAATTATAATTTATCATTTAAACTCACTATTAATGCATTAACTTATCTGCATATGCAAAGTCCTTATTGTACTTGTTTAATGTGAGAAGATATACATAACCCAGTACCTTAAAACCAGCAACTTGAAAAACAAGATTGTGCCTAGCTACTTTTGAGAAAAGGCCAAGAATTCTGTTAAACCATATAGTATCCATGATTAGGAAAACTATAAATCTGTATTGTTTAGAATGAGCAACTAAATATGACACAACCCAGGAGTTTGTGTGCCAAGAAATTCAAAGAGCACAGCCTTCAGTGACAGCTTTGCTACAAATGACACAGACACTTCTGCACACCAGCCAATCTCAAATGCTCCTGATGGCATTAGAACGACATTAACCATGTTTTTTGGATACAAAATCATGTTTCATATGGGAAAAAAAGTTTGACACTCAAAATATTTATCTTTGAATGTCAAAGAATCCTATCATCTACAAGGGAGGTATATATCAATATGTAGTGCAAGCATCTGACATCTGGTGTTTTGATTGTAATGTAAAGTGGCTGGCATTAAGCTTTGAATTGCAGAGCCATCCATCCCAAACACAAGGCCAGCTACACAAATACTTAAAGAGCCAGGCTGCTCCATCCCTAAGGTTCCCCTTTTTAGAGATCTTTGGTTGCAGATGACTGACCGCCTGACTGACCGCTTGCTTTGTCCTTCCCTTGATTTAATTCCTGTTCTTATGTTTTAAATTAATTAATAAAGAGTGAACTCATGAAACCCTAGGCCCCACAACACTCAATTCCAAAAAAGCTAGAATCCCAGAGCCATGCTCTCTCTCTTTCACCTTGCCCTCCAGAACCTGTGAGTAATAAACTTGTTTTTCCTAAGTTCCCTGATGGCTGTTGCTGAGGTGGATCCTGCAGTCGTAAGAAGCACAAGGGCCAGTCCAGCCACAACACTGACTCTGAAAGGGCCACACATAGTGCAGGCCCAGGTGAGGGTCCCCAGCATTCCTAGCCGATGGTTCACCATGACCGGCTGAGACCAGGGCCCGCAGACTGACCCAAAACAAAGGATCCTGAGGACTCTGGCTATGGCCAGCACTGACCCTTAGTTACTATGTCTTAAGCGGGTCCAAGGTCCAGAAAAAGTGTTTGAGGCAAGTCAGGCACTGGTTATGAGTACTTAGGATAATTACTGGTTACCAACCAGCAAACAAATACTTCAATATTTTTTATCCACTGGCAAGGATATACCACTGTATGCCAGCTAATCAACTGCCCTGATTTTTGTTCAAGCTCATGTACCGCACGTTCTTATACTATTCTTACTGTACACTTCCACTCAGCCTCTCATTTAGAACACAAAGTGTGGTTTAACTTGCATTAAAATATTAGAACCTTCCTATTCAAGTAACAGATTATATTTCACATGACATATCAAAGCTTAAAAATAATTTTATTGAATTTTTGGAGGAAAGTGACCATGTGAGAGCAATAAATCCTAGGACTTGAGAAGTTAAAGGGAAGCAACCTTCTGTGATAGGGGTAAAGGCACTTGATTTCAAATCTAAGTTCTTTCATTCTACAGCTGGATAGGGGTCCAAACAAGAAACAACACAGTAGTACTTCAATTTCCTGTGCTTATAAATTTGGAATTATACTTTATATTGTAGCTCTCTTACAGATGATGTTTAGATAATGTATCAGCAAACGAAACCAAATCTACTCTAAAAGAGAGATGAATACCCAGCTAGCTCAAGAATCTCACAGCACCACCATTTTCAAGCAGTGATGCTATTGCCTGCCAAATCTTTTAAGTGTTCCACGGTTTAATCTAACTGCTTGATGGCATTTTCCCTAATTCAGTCTTTTTAGGTCCAATGCTTCACTAACTTTACTATGTACATAAATCAACTGGGGATATTATGAAAACACAGATGCTGATTTCTTAGATCTGGAGTGGGACCTGAACTTCCGCCTTTCAAACAAGTTCAGTGTCTTTCCCAAGATAAGTAACCTACGCATCAAAAGGGAACTTGTTAGTCATGCAAATATGCAGGCCCCACCCAAGACTCAGGAAACCAGGGACTCTGGAGGTGGGGCTCAGAATCTCTTGTAACAAGCCTCCCACATGTGAGTCATTTGCGGCTGAAGTGTGAGCAGCATTGCTCACAAATTTGGCTTCCCATTAGAATCATGCAGGGAGCCTTTTACAGTGCCTTGGTTACCCTCCAGACAAATTATATCATAGCCTCTGGGTTGGACTAATGTATGTGTATTTTTTTAAACTCCCCAGGTGATTCTGGTGTCATGAGACCCTCAGCTCCAAAGGAGAAAACAGCTGATATCTGAATAGCACACATCCCCTATATCTATTTAATAAATACATCACTCGGATTTCTTTGATTTGGCTTACATTTTAATTTTTAAAAAATGTATGGGGGACCTCAGAGTTCTGACATGCCACATGCTTAATTATAAACCTTCCATTTCCTTCCTCACCCTGTTAATATGGTCTGGATCTTCATTAGCTTTAAGACATTCATGAATAAGTTAGTCATGACTTTTACTGCTGAGCTCAAAGGCACACCTTATGTAGTGCTTTGGGCAAAGTGTGAATTTGTGGACTAGAATGAAGTTACACTTTTCTGAACAAAGTCAGTTAATGTACAAACAGAATGCCTCCCAGCACAGACATGGAGGTCAGTGCTTGATAGGGGCCTAAAGCAACACGATTAAAAGTTTTTTTTTTAAGTCAACAAAAGATGGACTGTCAGGATCAGAAGAGAAAAATGGGAGCCTGAGAGGTGAACTTAGATCATTTTTTCACTAACATATTCGAGAAAGAGACATGGCAGCCGGAATTCAGAAGTCCATGCACTGTATCCTAGATATGGCCATATTTTCCCTTGGATACAACATTTCAGTACCAGCTCTCTCTATTCCTTCTAATTCCTAACACAGGAATATCAATGTTCTGTACAGAAATGACCCCACTAAAAGTTAATAAATTACCACATGGAGTACATACACTGACACTAAGCATTAGTGTATAATTCCTTCTAATGTTACTTCTCACTATAAACATTTTTAACAAATTTTGGTGCTCTACACATCAGCCCTTGCCATTTGGTGAGGTATATCATCTCAGACCATAATGTAAAAGTGAAATTTCTGGTCCTACAATGTAAGCAATCCAGAAACATGGTTTCACCAAGGTGTATCTGAATTTCCCTGAGCCTGTTAAAGCAACATGTAACAAATCATACATTGCTTGGAAACTTGTTATACTGATGCTTCTTCTGTTCATTTAATACTTGCTTAGCATTGCCTTTGTGCCAATTCCTGTCCACTTACTTAATAATTATTAGCTCAATGAATTTCTGACAATTACAGATGATAATAGGTTCTGCTATTATCTCAGTTTTACAGATGAGGCTCAGAAGATTAAATAACCACCAAAGTTAACAGAACCAGGATATAAACCCAGGCAGCCCAGCTCCAGAGTACAGCTGGTAACTACTATTACAGTGTTTCTCATGAGAGCAATGTGGCATTTGGGACTTAAAAGAAATCCTTATGTCCAAAGTGGACTGTTGAGAGATAGGCTTGGGGTTGATTGATGATTGTGCATTGAGTCCCCTATACAGAATTTTATTGTTGTTAACAACCATTTGATCAATGAATATGAGAGATGCCCTCTCAAAAAAAAAATTAAGGCTTAAAAAACAAAGTCATTATTTTAAATGTCTCTCCTTTTAAAAGTTTTAAATAGTATAGAAAATAAATGCATTATTCTTCACTGTCAGAAACAAAATAATATCTTACCAGCTATCTGTGCCAGCACAGAAAAGAACATTGGTGAAAAATGACACAGGTTTAGATGAGTTGAAACTGAGGTGGCAGGTGACCTCAGTATTAATGCCACTGGAAGAGCCTGTGATGACTCTGCCTTTTGGAAATGTCACGGAAAAAGGGTGAATCTCATCACCATCAAGAAGTGTTGTTGTGGGAATCTGGACACTTAGAGTTGAATCTCTGTTTAAAATTAAAACAAAATTAGTTCAAAGTACATGCAAGTATTTGGATTTACATGTGTTTTCTTGTTTCTTGAATCATCAGAAAAATTAAAACAACAAATATTTACAGTAATATGCCCAATTAAGAAATTTTTGTATCATCTCTAATTTTCTAGTTACAATGTAAGATTGAGAATATATTAATTTAACCAAGAACCACAGAAGATGATCAAAAGTTTCTTTTGTTCTCTAAGAATTAAAAAAGAGAGAGTTAAAACACCTGATTAAATACAGTGTGCTTTTAACCACATCCATGATATAAATCATATTGCCCTTAAAACATATCCTGACAAAAATTTACCAAAAATTACCACTTTACTAGCTAAAGCTTTAATGCATGTACACTAATTAAGTTTAATAGATGCATTTACACATATAATTTTTAACAATGTGGATACTATTAAGCACTTGCATACATACATCATAAATTTTTTCAATCATCACTACTAAAAAATTCCACCTAATATTCACATATTTCACTATATATCTACAATTTGTTTAGCCAATATAAAACGTTTGTGCTCTTTAACAACATAGTATGTAGTATTCACTTTTAAATCTAATTAATACATGACAATTTTTAGTGGTCAATAAATATTTAACCATATTACTTTATTTTATTTTATATGTAGGCTCCTTTGGCAAAGAAAAAGTGTTATCATTTGAGAATCACATTTTGTTAGTAAGTTTATTATAATGAAGATTTTTCAGCTCATCAGAAAAGAAATATCTCAGCTTGAACTAGTTAAACTGATATGGTGCATTGGATAAAATATGGGAAAAGAAACTTTTTAAATCAGGTCTGAATACAATTCTGTTGTTAATTAGCTACATGTTATTGTATGAGTCATTATTGCTGTTTATTTACTATACATATAATGAAAAAACTGGGGGAAAGTCTTCTCTGCAATAACTTTTACACGTTCATTTCATTGTACCATATTTTACGACTCAACTTTTGCCTTGAGATTGTTTTTAAACTGATACCTTTACACATTAATTCAAAAGTTGAAAGATTAAAATATTATTTCATATATTAGACAGTGCTTCTTGATTAAGAAAACAATTTTTAGCACAATATAATTTAAGCCACTTCTATTTCCTGTTTAAGCAACAGAGGTTAGTGTATATTTATAAGATAGGGTCTTAAAAGGTCTTGAAAGAACTTTGAATCCCATTGTCAAGCCAATTTTGAAGAACACTTTCTTACAAAATGGCACTTGGAGCAGGCTCCTTGGCATTAGTAAGCACTCATCAAATATTGCAGGAAAAGTGTTAGAAACTAGAGGTTGTTCCATGCTCTTCAACTTGGTTAACTTTCATTTATTTTCAACCTTTATTACATCACACTTGGAGCTTGCTTTCTCTGAATCTCAGAATGCTTAACAGTTAAATAAGGGATTGAACTAGAGAAGCTCTGAGGTGGGTACAAGATCTAGAAGTTTATTTTCATAACTTTTATAACTTTAGAAGTTTATTTTCACAACTTTCATAGTTCCATGTTTGTGCAGTTCACAGATTTTCTGAATAAGGCTACTATATGAATAATTTCAAACATTCCTTGTTGTACACATATGCAAGAGTTTTTCTTGTACCTATTGTGAATTAAATTTTTGGCTGTGAAAAATGCAGATGTTCCACTTTGCACAGTATTATCCAGAGCAGTCCTATTCATTGACATAGTAACTAGTTACCTGATTTCTTAACCTTTGCCTACTAAGGACAGGCAAAAATGCTATCTTATTGTAGTCTCCAAGTTTCATTCCCAAGTTTACAAAAAGGTCAATTATGTTTTCAGATGTCCATTTTCCATTTATGAATCCTCTTCTGTGAAACACCTATTAAAGCTTTTCGTCAACATTGCTATCAAGTTAGTTGAAATTTTCTTAACTAATTTTTATAATTTATTTCATTGTTAGCATGTAAGTATTGTTTAAGAAATCTTTCTCTACCCAGACATTAAAATTATTTTCTATAAATTTGTTTATATTTTGTTTTTTACACATCTACAATGCATTTTATCCATCTACAATGCATTTTTGTGTGTTAAGTGACATAGGAATCCAATTTGAAATATTCCGTACAGATAATGAATTGTCAGCACTATTTACTGAATAGTAACTCTTTTCTCCAAAGATCTACAACACTACCTTTCTCACATATTCAGTATCCAACCACGTGTGGGCCTTCCACAAGTCTCTTCTACTCCTGCGGTCATTTTATCTATCACTGCACCACTATCACACTGGCTTAGTCTTGATATTTGGTAAGGCAAGCTCTTACCTTCTTCAGGAGTGGCTTGGCTGTTTTAGACCCTTGATTGCTCTATATAAAATTTAAAATTTTACTTGTGAATTTCTATGAAGAATTTCATTTGAATTTTTATTGCAGTTGCATGGAATATGTAAATTGATCTTTGGAGAACTTTTTTACAATATTGAACATTCCAACTCATGAATATGGTATAACTCTTCACTTATTTATGAGTTCTCTGACTTAAGTTTTAGATTTCTTCACATGGTTCCACACAGTTCTTCCTCATCTTTTGTTTAGTTTACCCCATTAATTTAATTTTTAATGTTTTCAGAAACAGTAACTTTAGAATTGCATGTTTTACATTTGTATGCTGAAATGTTACTGAATTTAAATATTGGACTTAGATTTCTGTCTTGATCTTCACAGCTTTAAAATTTTTCAAATTTAATTTAAACATTTGCCTATAGATTCTTTTCATTTCCTATATGAAAAATCATATCATCTAAAGGTATTGACAGTTTTGTAGCTTATTTTCCCATGCTTACATATTTTGTTTCTCTTAACTCTTTGAATGGACTAGTTTCTTATGTAAAATGTATTAGAGAGGCAGTGGTAACAGGCTTCCTTGTCTTTTTTATTTAAAGGGAATTCATTAGTATTCCAGTATCCATAATAATATCTCCTCTAGGCTTATGATGGGAAACTTTTCACAATTTAAAGAATATCTGCTTTATTCCTGTTTGAGAGTTTCATCATGAATGGTTTTAGAATTTTATCAACTGCTTTTCCTGCATCTATGGAAATGATCCTATCATTGTTCTCTTCAATTTGAAAATATGGTAGATGAAATGCCAAGGCACTTTAGATTTTTCTAACATTAGGCAAACCTTGCAATGTTGGGATATAGCCAGGTTGGTCATGATTTATTAATATATCTTCATTACATTATATTATGTATATACTATGTTATATCAACATGTCTTTTAATTCATTAGGGATTATTGCATCTATATGCATAATAGCATTTGACCAATAATTTACTTTTCTTACATTGTCTTTGTCTTATTCTATAATAAATTTCTGACATCACAAAACAAATTAGGGTACAGTCTCTCTCATTCTGTTCTCTGGAGGAATTTGTACAAGGTTTGATATTTTGATTTATCAGGTTCTTGAAAGTTTAGTAAGACTTGCTTATAAAAACATCAGAGGATGGTGTTTTGCTTGTGAGATTTTTAAGTATTGATTCAAAGACTTTCTATAATTCCCTGTATGGTTTTAGTAAATCATATTTTTTCTACAGAATTCCCATTTTGTTTAAGTTTTCAAATGTATTGGAATAGATGTCTTCATGGTATTTTGATTATCTCATTTTTCTCCACTGGACATACGATGATGTCACACACTATTCTCAGTATTATTTCATTATGCCTTCTCTCATTTTATTCCTTGCCAGTGTCACTGTATTTCTGTCCATTGTATTAGTTTTTCAAAGAACCAGTTTTTTGGTTTCAGTGAGCCTATATATTTGTTTTCTATTCCTTTACTTCCTACTCTTATACATTTTATCTTCTTTTCTACTTGGGTTTAATTCCTTGAGTTTAATCTGTTATTCTTACTCTTATTTTTATTAAACTGAATACTTAACACTTTCAATCCTTTTTTAATCGAATATCAGTCTTTAAGATCATATAATTCCATTTAAGTACCATTTTTGCTGCATTCCATAAATTTATTTATTTATTGCTTAGCCACTAGACTTTTGATGGTTTTTTAATGTAACAGATAGAGCTCACAAAGATGCAGCCCCATCTAAAGAAGCGACAAAAGTCACAGTAGCCATTTCAAATTTAGTCTTCAACTCTAATACTCCAGCACTGTAGATAGCATTTGATTGTACTGTACACTCATGACTCTTAATAAATGGTGTTTACATGTTTTGACAGCATTTTAATTATTTATTGGTGAAATTCAATATGACATTTTCATATTTTTTAAAATTTCATATTGTTTAAAAATAATGTTTCCAAATGTTTGGGAAATCTTGTTAATATTTATTTATTTTTAATTTTTATTATTATTATCAGAGAACATAGTCCACATGATATCAACTCTTTAAAATTTGTTGAACTACGGAATGATACACTCATCTATATCCCATGTATATATTCCATGCATATATGTTTTTGTATATATCCCATGTATGATTGAGAAAAATATATATTCTCTAATTGCAGGGTGCAGTATTTTATAATACCATTTTTAATACTATTTTTAGTATTTTTAATAACATTAGTGTTAAGTGAATGAAGCTTTTAAAATACCCTGTGCAAATTTTATCTATATAAAAGTTTTTGTCTTCTGGACTCATCAATAATTGAGATATGTGTTGAAATATCCCACAGAAATGAACTAGTCAGTTTTCCTGTTTTTTTAATTTGGGATTTACGTATTTTAATACCACTTTAATCATTCATACAATTTTTGAATTCTGATAGTTTCCAGGGGAGCTGCATCTTTTATAAATATTTAATGGCTTCTATATTAAAAATGTGTTTTACCTCTTAAAGGTTACCACATGTGAAATTACTACTGGTATCCAATTTTCTTTTGCTATCTCTTTTCCCATGATTTTACTATGGTGGTTCTCAACTGGGAGTGGTTTTGCTCCCCAGGGAACATGTAGCAATGTCTGGAGACATTTCTTCTGTCACAGCTTAGGTGGAGAATATGTGGGTAGGGGCTGGGGATGCTGCTTAAACATCCCACATGTACAGGATTCTGTCCAGAGGAAAAAGAATCACCCTCCCCCAAATGTCAACAGTTCTGAGGTTGAGAAACCCTGCTTTACTTCCTTGTCCTTATGTTTCATATATGCTTCTTTTAGTAGGCAGATGGACTTTTCTTACTTACTCTAACATTTTCTGTCTTTTACCTAGTTAAAATGATTTTTTTACATTTTATTGCATTACTCAACTATTGAGTTTTGCCACCACTTTTGCTTTAGTTTTCACTTGCTTTTGAAATATGTTTCTCTTTTTCTAACAACATTAACTGAGGTTTTCATTGTTTCTGTACTGTTTGTATAGTTATAAACAATCTTAGGTTTAATGGATGCCCTTAAAATTTTACCCTACACACTTGATTTTAAAATTTGTAATAATTACATTTGGTTCATTTTCAAGTCTATATTGTATAATTCCATGTAAAGTACTAATTTTTTCAAAGCCATATTTTCTAATAAATTATTTATACTATATGCCAGAAAATTCCAAAATCTGTATTCCTTAAGAGTCTAAATCTCAAGATAGTTGTTTGTGCTGTCTCTAAATTTTGGTATCTTCCCTCCTTGTGAGTTTTGTGGTGCTTGATACTGTGCTCATGTCTGGTTGGTAGCAATCTGTGGGAACCGAAATATGGGCCAAAACTAAAGACGGCTTCATTTAGAGTAGAGGTTCACAAAGTGCAGTCCGTGGATCAACAGCATCAGTATCATCTGGAAACTTATTAGAAATAAAAATCATTACATCTAATTCCAGGCTTCCTGAATCATAAATTCCAGGACTGTAACCCAACAACCTGTTCTAAAAAATCCTTCAGGTGATTCTGATGCACACTAAAGTTTAAGAACCACCGAACTAGAGACTATTTGTTTGCTTCTGCTGAAAGGTAGACGGACTTACTCATATGGAACCATTTTAGCCTCTTCAAATGCCCCTGGACTAATCCAGGAATCTGAGATTAAGTTTTCCTGCCTTGAAGTTGTCCCAAGATTTGAGACAAGCTTGTACTAGGCATGTTATTATAGCTCACCACTCCTACTCTGGTTTCAGCTTGTAAGTACATGTTCATTTGGTTTGCTTTGATCTGAGCACTTTGGAGACCTCCCACATTTCTCAGAAGCCCAGCAATTAAATTGAAAACAGAAAAAAAAAATGTATACATATATGTGTATATATATATATATATATATATATATATATATATATACACACACACACATATACACACACAGACCACTCTTGTAGTGTGATGATATATAATGTATCTAGGCTAATATAATATGATATTGGATGGTTTTGGGCTATTTATAAACACACACACATATACATACACAGACCACTCTTGTAGTGTGATGATATATAATGTATCTAGGTTAATATAATATAATATTGGATGGTTTTGGGCTATTTATAAATTTTTGTAAAAAAATGAAAACAGACTGAATTCCATAGGTAGAATTCTGAGATGGCCCCCAAGAGTCCTATCCCTCAGTGTACAAACTCTGTAATTCCAACACCGTGGATGGTAGAATTTGTAAATATGATGAGATATCACCTTGATGATTGAGTTATGTTATAGGTCGATGGTAAAGGGACTTTTCGTATGTAACTAGGGTCCCTAGTCATATAAAATCGAGTGAAGGAAAAGGGAGATTACCATGGGTGGATCAAACTTAACCAGGTGAGATCTTAACAAAAGGTGTAAAGGTCAGAGATGAAGAAGTCAGAGAGACACTCTACTTCTGACTTTGAATGAGTAAAGTACCAAATTGTGAAGAGGAACCACATGGCTAGGACTTGAGGATGGCCTCTAAGAGCTGAAAGTGGTCCCAGCCAACAGTCACTAAGAAAATGATGTCCTAGGCCTACAACTACAGAGATTAGTTCTGCCAACAACCAGAGAGCTCAGAGGAAGACTGAGCATCAGAAGCCACTGTTGCTGCAGCCACACCTTGACTTGCACCTATTGAGACAGTGAGCAGTGGACGCAGCTAGACTGACCCAGACTCCCGCCAAAGAAACAGCTAACAGATTCACGTTTGAAGGATTAAGTTTGTGGTCATCTGTTACACAGCAAAAGAAAATGAATACACTGAATACTTAAGCCTGCTTCTTATACCATGAAAAAAGACATACCAAAAATTTTTACAAGAAAATTAAATGACTGTGAGATAAATAAGTGGGCATTTCTTTAATATTTTTAATTTAAATGGGCAGTTAAATATTTTAATAGTTCATTCCAACTATAGAAACAAATCAGACATTGCTCATGACTGATGTAACAGATACAAATAAAAAAGCACATAAAGAAAAAGTAATCAATTCACTTAAGCACTTACCTGAAATAGTTTTGAGGCAAAATGTTGATATTCATCACAGTTGTTACATCCAAAGGAACAGGAGTAAAAAATATGAATGGAGGGTCAAACAATAACTTTGGTGATTTTACCTCTCCAATCAGATGCAACATTCGATAGCAAACTGGATTATCATTTAGACATATAGGAATGTCAGCTGTGTATTTTCCAGCATGATCTAATGAAAAACAAATTTTGTATCTTAAATGAGTTGACCCCCATAGAGAAATACATTTACATAGTTTAACCTTATTAAATATTAAGATGTACTATGAAGGTACAGCTCAATGGAGCAGATTAGATTACCCAGAAACTGGCTTTATCTTCCTGAGGAATTTAAGACATGTAATGAGGTTTGTTGAAATAAAATATTTTAAAGTGCACTATGTCTAGAAATCGAGTAATCACAAACTAGATTTTCATTATGACTATTAAACACATATACCTTAGGGAAACAGTGCAAAAAGGACTTCTTTTCTGATTTTTCTCTGTGCCTTAACAGGAGGGGCCCATTCCTTTAGTTTATGCAGTATGGAGATCAGACAACTGCCAGAAGTATCTCAGGGGACTACTGAAAAATGGATGTGCTGAGAGGAAAAGAATGGGCTTTCTCCCAGATATTTCAGTTCCTGAAAGGCTGCCAGCATCAGTGGGCCAGTTTCACCTGGTAGGAAAAGACTGGAAATTCCCACATAGCAACTCACTATAAGGAAAGGTGGTCTGTGTTTAAGAAAAGGGCTCAGCACAGGAGGCTGCAGCTAGTCCAAGACAACAGCAAGTTGCCATGCCCTTTTAGACCCAAATCCCCAAACACAGCATCTCAGAGGGAGAACACTGTGATACTGTGACAATGAATTCAAGGTAATAGCTTTTAATTCAAGAACAGGACAGTGGGGTGGCCTGGCAGGGATCAGGGAGAGGAGGAGAATGCTCTAGGGGATGCAGGGCCACGTTCAAAACCAACACAAAAGCAATGGACTCACTGCACTGACTGGAACCACCACCAGTTCTCTCTGTACTGGAGGATACCTTTCCTTGTCAAATAAGCCCTTTACTTGCTCGCTCAGATAGTCTGGGATCTTTGGAGCTGGGAGTTGGCTGGAGAGGGAAGGGAAGAGTAACTTCCTACTAACAATGCCAAGTAAGTATTGGAAAAACAATGTGAAAATATGAGAGACTGTATCTGTACCTTGAGTTGATAAGAGTTATAACAGAATTTACATATTTAAAACATTATAAATCCATAGAGAAATGAGGGTTTCATTTAATGAATGGGATTGTTACAATTATTTGGGGGAGAAAGAAAATCAAGTTAATTAATTTAACAGTTCAGGCAAGATTGTAAGACTTGTTGAGTTCTGAATTTTGAATGAGCTGCTTCGAGATAATTTCTGAGTTTCAGACCTGCTAAAGGCTTCTGCAGTCATGGAGAATGGGGTTCCTGGTATAACCTAAGACTACCGGGGATTTAATAAAACGTTTTTAAGCTCAAGTGTGCACTGTCTCTCATCTGAGATGTGAGTTTCATAAGGGTTTTACAGGCACGTTTAATATTTTTAAGAGTTAGGTTGAGATCCTAAGAAGGGAACCCAAAGATTTGACTACTTGGGCTTAGCCCTGTACTGAAGGAAAAGTTAAATGGAAATGATTTTATTTCCTTCTAGATTGTCCAGTCCATTTGATCTGGATATAAATGTTGATAGGGACATAAAGGAGAAGCTCTTTATAGAAATAGAGAAGATGGCAATAGTGGGACTAGCTTTTGTGCCATTTCTTTCAGGACCAGACACAGTAGAAATTGAGAGGAAATACAAATATACAGAAATACATAACAAAACCCAATTATATTTATAAAATGAACTTCAGAATGTGGAAAATGTTGTTTTCTATCGTATTTTCAGAGTTCTAAACAGAGGTAATAAAAGTTGAAACAGTTTTTAAACCTCCTAAATAATATCCTATGTACGGTTTCTCACACATAAAACTAAAGTGATTATACAATGCCATGCTAATGGACGTAGCAGGACATTGAGTATATGCAACACAGTGCTAACAGAATATTATTCAGAGAGAACACAGCTCAATGAACTCTCTAAAAAGCTTAAAAGATTAGTTATAATCTTAAAATCTTGCAGTCATAATCTTATAAGTAGATAATAGGCTCTTACCCTGCCTTTTCTGTTGATAAGACAGCTAGTTATGGGTATTTTCTTTAGACCTCCACATGTTTAAAACATAGTAGGTCCTAAGGATTCTGATGCATGTGATTTACAGAGGGAGTGCTCTCAGGAGGAACTTGTAGGGAAAATAAGCAGCAGAATACAACAGGGCAGGAAGCTATGAAAAGTTGTCTTTTTAGACAGATTCAACCTGATTCTACTGGGAGCTTTGGGATGGGAACTCCCCACAGAGATTTTCCCACCCGAAGGAGACTAGGCTGGGCCACTTGAGGTACTGGTTGTGAGGCTTAACCTCCTAGGTATCTCTGCATGAGGCATCTTTCTTCAAGCAAGGAAAATCCTCTGGAGAAAGGGACAGACAAAACCTGTCAGGAGGCAACAGCCACAATGGAGAGATGGATGGAAAAGCCCAGTAACGGGAATCTGGAAGAGCCAAAAGAGAATACATAGGAGGCTACAATCTTAATGTTGCTTAATAAGTAATAATAATTAGGAAGAGTAACAGATAAGTTACTAGAAACCACCCTTTTAAACAGAAAAATTGTCTGGAAATGGAATTTGGTACGTTTATTCAATTATGGTATTATAAACCCTAAATAAAGGTACTGGAGCATATACTTTGATTTTTTCAATATATTGTTTATTGATGTATAGCTGATATACAATATTATATTGGCTTCAAGTATACAACATAGTGATTCAACAGTTAGCTATATTATTAAATGCTCACCCCAAGGAGTGCAGTTACTATTGTCAACATAGAAAGACATTACAGATCTACTGACTGTATACTCTATGCTGTACTTTCATCTCTGTGACTAATTTATATTATAATTGAGATTTTGTGCCTCTTTATCCTCTTCACCCACCCACCCCAACTCCTCCCCCATGGTATCAACGAGTCACTTCTCAGCATCTATGAGTCTACTGCTGTTTTGTTCATTTTGCTTTGTTTTTATATTCCACAAATAAGTGAAATCAGATGGTATTTGTCTTTCTCTCCCTGGCTTATTTCACTGGGCATAATACCCTCTAGCTCCATCCATGTTGTTGCAAATGGTAGGATTTGTTTTCTTCTTGGCCATCTATACTTCTTCTTTGGAAAAATGTCTATTCAGGTCCTCTGCCCATTTTTAATTGGGTTATTTGGTTTCTTTTCGGGGTTGAGGCATAGTAGTTCTTTATATATTTTGTATGTTAACCCCTTACCAGATAAATCATTCACAAATATATTCTCCCATACTGTAGGTTATCTTTTTGTTTTTTTGATGGGTGTCATTTGCTGTACAGAACCTTTTTAGTTTGATGTAGTCCCACCTGTTTATTTTTGCTTTTGTTTCCCTTTCCCAGGGAGATGTGTCCACAAAAAAAATTTCTCATGCTTATGTTGTAGAGACATTTGCCTCTGTTTTCTTTTGAGATTTTTGTGCTTTCATGTCTTATATTTAGGTCTTTAATCCATTTCTACTTTACTTTTGTGTATGGAGTTAGACAGTAATCCAGTTTCATTCTCTTGCATGTAACTGTCCAGTTTTCCTAGCACCAGTTATTGAAGAGACTGTCTTTTCCCACTGTATATTCACGGCTCTGTTTTCATATATTAATTGACCATATATGCATGGGTTTATATCTGGGCTTTCTTTTCTGTTCCATTGATTTATGAGTCTGTTCTTGTGCCAGTACCATAGTGTTTTGATTACTGTAACTTTGTAGTATAGCTTGAAGCCAGGGAGAATGATTTGTTGTTCTTTCTCAGGATTGTTTTGGCTCTTCAGGGTCTTTTGTGGTTCCAAATAAGTTTTAGGATTCTGTGCTCTAGTTCATTGAAAAATAGCATTGGTATTTTGATAGGAACTCCACTAAATCTTTAAATTGCTTTGGGTAGCATGGCTATTTAAACAATATCAATTCTCCCTATTCATAAGCATGTGATAGATTTTCATTGATTTGTGTCTTCTTCAATTTCTTTCATCAGTGTCTTATAGTTTACAGAGTATAGGTCTTTCACCTCCTAATTTAGGTTTATTTCTAGGTATTTTATTCTTTTTGATGCAACTGTAAATGGAATTTTTTTCCTGATTTATCTTTCTGCTAGTTCCTTATTAGTATATAGGAATACAGCATATTTCTGTATATTGAATTTGTATCCTGCAACTTGCTGAATCTAGTTATTAATTCTAATAGTTTTTTGGTGGAGTCTTCAGAGTTTTCTCTATATAATATCATGTCTTTTGCAAATAGTGACAGTTTTACTTCTTCCTTACTAATTTGGATGCCTATTATCTCCTTACCTTGTCTGATTTGATGTGTCTAGAACCTCCATACTAAGGTGAATAAAGTGGTGAGAGTGGGCATCCTTGTCTTGTTCCTGATCTTAGGGGAAAAGCTTTCAGCTTTATTACGCTGAATATGATGTTAGATATGGGTTTGTTGTATACAGCCTTTATTATGTTGACATAAATTCCCTTTACACCCATTTTATTGAGAGTTTTTACCATGAATGGATGTTGAATTTTGTCAATGCTTTTTCAGCATCACTGAGATGATCATGTGTTTTTTTATCCTGCTTTTTGTTAATGTGGTATATGATATTGGTTTATTTATGAATATTATACCATCCTTGCATCCCTGGAATAAATCCCACTTGGTCATGATAGACAATCCTTTTGATGCAATTTTGAATTCTATTTGCAGTATTTTGTTGAGGATTTTTGCATCTATATTCACCATGGATATTGGTCTGTAACTCTCTTTTTTTGCACTGTCTTTGCCTGATTTTGGTATTAGAGTGATGCTGGCCCCACATAATGAGTTTGGAAGTATTCCCTCCTCTTCTATGACTTTGGAATACTATAGGAAGGATGGCTATTAGCTCTTCTTTAAATGTTGGGTAGAATTCAGCTGTGGACTTTTGTTTGTTGGGAGATTTTTGATTACAAATTCAATTTTGTTACTGATAATTGGTCTGTTCAGATTTTCTGTTTCTTCCTGGGTCAGT